TGATTAGCTTGGGTGAAGATTGGTTAGAACGATCTTCTCAATTCTTTTTCACCAACCACCCGTAATAATTATGGATAACTCCAGTGGTTATTACGGTCCGCCTTCTTCCTACCAATCACCTAACCGCCCTCCGTTTCAACCCCACCAAACCTATCACCCACATCAGTACCCATTTGATAATACTTACCAAGTCAACAATAGATCTGACTACTATCCCTACCATGAGGAACCACTATATGATACCCCGTCTAGAAACTTTGGATATTCGCCATACCAAGATCCTGATGGGGATGATTATTATGAACCTCATGGTGATCAAGATGACTATGACCAATCTGGGCCTATGTATGACAATCAACCTGATCCACTCGTCGAAGAAATAATAAGATTAGAACAGAAAATCTTCTATTTCGACGAACTTTTATTCGTTGAAGGCTCTTGGTACGAACCACCTTACTCCCGTGACTACACTTTGTTTGCTGAAGAGCAAATTGAAGCTAACAAGGTGGCAATTCGAGAAAGAGCAAAACTTCTTGAATCAGTCCGGAAAGAAAAGGAGTTCGAGAGGAGATTATGCGAAGGATCAGAAATGATGCAGAAAATGCTAGACGACTTTCAAAGAGTGAGACTAGAAGCAGAGTCTAAAGCCGATAAATTAGTCAATGATCTCTGTATGGCTATTGAACTTAATTGCTCCCTCCAATCTCAAGATCCACAATTGGAGGAAGTTAATGCTCAAAAAGAGGCTCTAGAACCTAAGACCAACCCTGAACCATCCAACCATCAGGTGCCAGTTCTAGAAGATTCACCAAGTTCTACACCATCACAGAAACCTGAGAGCATAACAACTCTTGCTAGGGCTACTGTGGTGATGTTACCTGAATACCCTCCTAGCCAAGTCCTAACCAGCATAGTCGTACATGAGGTGGAACCAACTGAGGGACCTGACTCAGAACCACCTACGCTCATTCAAGAAAATGAGGAGGAAGTTTTGCCTACGGCAATAAACGACCATCTCCTTAATTGTGTTGAAGACACACCTCCAGAGGAACATTTTCTGGAGGAAGTAGAGCCCATTACCTGCCCCCAAGATACCAATGTCCAAGTGTCCGAGCAGGAATCTATAGACGAGGAATTATTTTGCATGGAAAAGCCAACTCCGCTTATAGAAACCTGTGTACATAATGCTTCATCTGAAGATTCAGACCATATCTTCTTTGACTCCCTACTTGACGGGTGCGACTATGTCTGCCCAAACGATGGTTGGAGCCAAAAGAGTTGGGATGAACTTCTGGTAAGTGACACTGAAGACGCATCCATGGGGGAAAGCATGATCATAATCATTCAACCACAAATGGATAGTCAGCCTATTGAAACCAAGGAAGAAGTCAGTCTTGCTATAAAGGCCAGAGATGTGGATCGACTAAGGAGACTTCCGCCACCACCCACCTATACAAAGTCTCCTCCATATATCCTGTTGCCACCAAGCCGCAGGGAAGAGTCAAGGATCCTGGACCTTGACCGAGCAAAAATTCAAACAAGGTGGCATCAGAAGAGAGTCAGAAGGGCCAAACTTTATGACTCACGGATCGGAAAGTCTCGGAAAAAGTGGGTGAGCGTCGAGCTACGGACGTTAAAGAAGCGCTTAACGGGAGGCAACCCGTCATTCAAATAACTAAAATAATTAAATAAATTAAATAGTTTTATTTGTTAGTTTTTGAGGTTTTGCTTGCCGCACCAGTTTTGGGGGCAAGAGTTATTTTGTTTGTTGTCTTTGCTTTTGCAGATGAGAGAATTGTAGGGCATACCTTACAGTGGGAGCGAAGAAGAGGTCTCACCTGGGGAAAACACAAGGTTTCTGCAACCTTCGAGGCTTCTTGATCCAACAGTCCTGGTTGAAGTTGGCTACTAAGAGAATATTGACCTTATCAGTAAAGTGTCTTTTTCTCTACTATTTTGAACATGATTTGGATGCTTGATGATTTTTATTTTGGAATTTCACAACATGACTCTTAAAACCATTTTGAGAATATTTTATGCATTATTTCATATTTTCATGTTATGGTTATCTATTATTTCAATCTTCATCCTTGAATTCTGTAAGTATTGAGATAACTTAGTAATTGCATGTGGACATTTCAACCATTAACTCTAATTCTGAAACACTTTTAACCACGAGGGTGTGGTTAAGTTTAAGTGTGAGGAGGTAAGAGTTCGTGGTTGAAATGATCTTTTTAGGATTGTTTTGTCTATATATTTGTAGGAAAAGATTTTTTTATAGAATAGTCATCAATTTTAATTGTTTGATTAATTACTCTTTAGTTATCACCCGTGGAAATTGGAAATTTTTAAAATTTTTGTCAAACTTTTATTTTTACTCTAACCTTTTGGGAATGTTTTCTAAAATGATTTGGGATAAATTCACAATTTATTAAGAGTTTTTTTAGATCAATTAATTTTTAAGTGCTTTATTGAAAAATCTTTTTGCTGATGCTCTTATGAGTATTTGTTGTTTCTTAAAAAGAGTTATTTTCAAAGTATAAGGGGTGATGTTTCAAAGCATACTTTGGTGAGACCGAGATTCTTGTTTTAGCCAAAAAGCAATTGGTTCTATGTCAATTGATGAGGCGTGGTGAGTATGCCGAAAAGCACGTGATTCTATATTGCCTGATGAGGCCTTTTGAGTGTTAGAGTCAAAAAGCATGCGGTTCTATGTCGTGTGATGAGACTTTCCAGAGTGAATATCCAAAAAGCTCGTGGTTCCATGTCACGCGATGAGGTTATAATTTTTCTCGTGTCAACATGACCAAGTTATGCCAAAGAAAATTAAACCCTTACACTTTGACAAACACTTTTGCAAGAACATGTTTTCCAATTTAGTCATTAAAAAATTATTTGATCTTTAAAGTACTCTTACAAATGTAGTTATCCCAAAGAAAGTTTGGAAAATTATGGTTGTTTAGGTTGGTGTAAAAATATTGATTTGACAAAATTCTTTTACGTTTCTAACAATATGGGTGAGAATCTAAAGGTTCATTTCTTCTTAACAAAAAGGTTGATGACTATCTTATTCATTCTTTCCTTCATAATATCTAGCTTAAACTTTCCCTCTGCAATTATTGATTTGTCTTTATACTTGTAATTATTCAATTTGTTGCTTGAGGGCAAGCAACGTTTAAGTGTGAGGAATTTGATAAGTCCATTTTGTTCTTATCATTTACATCATATTCTAAACGTTATTGCACGTAAATAGTATTTAATCATCTCATAAAATGTGTTTTCAATGAATAAAACTCTCATTTTCGTTCTAAGAGTCATGAAAAGGGATTCCACATGAAATTATCATAAATCATCCATTTTATGTTCAAATACTTGAGAAAAAGGGAATAAATCATCAAGGGATCAAGATT